TAGTTTCATATTTCTACTAATATGTTATGATATTAATTTGTACATTTAAGTTTTGAAATATAACTTATATGTCTAACTTTACATCCAAGTCATTCAATAAGTAATATATTTAAGTTATATAAACAAGTTATACACATGACTTTTTTTTAAAGTTACTAAGCTATATGCGTAACTTTTATGCACGACATATTACCATAACTTATATATCACAACTTTACAATATAATATTTTGCAGAGCGAAATTATTAACACAAGTTTTAATCATAACTTTTGTTGGGTAGCGTTGGTAAGTTGTAGAGAATAACTTACGTATATAAATTGTTACTATTTGTGCACCCATGAGGAAAATCAATTCTTGTTACCTACGATAGTGACATAGCTGAGCAACATGTAAGATTTCATATTTGTACCTATTATTATGTCATTGATGGAATCTTTATCTTTGCTCCTTCTTAAACCATGGATTTAAATAGCTGGCTATAGCACTGCTATAGCACCGCTATTGCTTTGAAGAGCCCACGCTAAGCTATTCCTATTTTTTCCACTATGTCATTTATGACTACTATATTATGCTTTAGAGTTATTAAATTGCTTAGCCGTAGCTTTATAAAGTAGCGCCACTATTTGAATTTTAGCTTTTAGAGTGACAATTTAGTTATTACGTGCCTATCTTTTGCGTTAAGTTGGTCTTTTGAAAAATCGAACACTTGAGTTTCACAAATCATGCTACAATTCCATATCAAATAATATCCCTTGAACTCCTAAAGCCTTAGAAATATATTTGTGTTCACTAAATTTCACCATTCCTGTGTTTTTATGAATCAATTACTTGAATTTTTCATGATTTTCTTAAAAACCGCTATCTGTCGTAGCTCCGCTATAGCTGTGCTATAGCATTATAGCTTCTGAAAAAAGATGTCTCTATTTGTAATAGCCCGCAATTTTAAACATTGTCTTAAACTTGTTAGGGTATAAAGCTTTCAAATTATGCACGAACAAGGTATAACGGGTATGATTTTCTGCTTAGCTTATTGCATTCATTGCTTTTGAAATAGTTTCTTCTGTTTCTATATGAGATTCTTCAATCAATGGCGCCACATAATTTGCTCTATAAATTTGTTCTATATAGTCTTTTTGTGGTGCTATGTTAAATAATAGAGTTATTTATCCGTCTTTTTGTTTTTTATATCTATATTACCTAACTTAGTTCGCTAACTTATTCTACTAAGTTATATTTCTAACTTATCTTTTTCTGTGTATGCTACCTAACTTACTTGATTAACGTACTATACAGAGTTATGTATCTAACTTGTGTTTTTATGTGTATGCTACTTAACTTATTTGAATAACTTATTGTTAAGAGTTATGTCTTTAACTTGTGTTTTCATGTGTATGTTACATAGTCATCTTATTTTTCCTATTGACTTAGTTTTTTTCTTCTGTTGTCAACTTTTGTTTTGTATTGTTATTTTAAATATTAGAAAATTTTGCAGATCTTTCGATTGAAGAAACAAATATGCTCAATGTCATAGTTATAGAGATGCAGAAGTTCTGAAAGCTATTATTTATCTGGTTTGAAAGTTTGCATCATATTATAAAATTTATTGTGTAGTATAGGTTGTAAAAGTTACTTTTATTTTGCTCCCCCGCCATTTTTTAAACCCTTTTCCCATGTTCCCGAATTATTAGTTTCTGAAAAGAAAAAAAATGCTGATCAAACCTAGAGAGAATGTTATTCTCGCAGGCATTTTCAAAATGTAAATTTTGCGTTGAAGGGACCATGACGCCTAAGAGGGGGGGTGAATTAGGCAACTTAAAGATCTACTTCTAGACTATGGCCTCTTTTTCTAATCCTAGCAAAACCTATGCAATAGATAAACTATCTAAATGTGCAACTATGGTTTTGCGAGTGTGTTGTTATCTCTACCGCAAAAGGAGTAATGTAATCAATGTAAATGCGGAAACTAAAGAGCAAGGTAGAGATATGCAAACTTCCGTCGATGACTCCGGTATTTTTACCGAGGTATCGAGAAGCGCGCAAGCTTCCCCCCTAGTCCTCGTTGGAGCCCCTCGCAAGGAATCCCTCGTAAGCGCCAAGCTCCCGGTCGGGTAACTCCGTGGATAGCCTCGGGCCTTCCCCACGCACAAGTGGGTCTCCGACGTGCCTTCCGGCAAGCCTCTCCCGGATGCTCCCCGCCGTCTTCACTATCAAGCTTCCGGCCGAAACGCCGCGGGCCTTGTTCCCTCCGATACACGGTGGCGGCCACACCACAAACGCGGTTGGTGTGATCTCACAAGACTACAAGCCCCTCCGATGTACAACAATGGTGCTCGCAAGCACCGGGTGGTAAGAGGTATGCAAACCTCACTAAACACTAGGCCTAAACCTAGAGCAAGCGCATAAGCGATGGTCTAATCAACCTAAGCACTTCGCAAAGCACCTACGCTAATCACCTAATGAAACACTAAGCACTATGCAAGTGGAGATCACTAAAATGGTGTATCAACACCCTTGGTATGTTTCCTCAGCTCCACACTACTCAAATGGCTGGTTGGGGGTTGTATTTATAAGCCCCGCTGAGAAAGTAGCCGTTGGGTCGAAATCCCGCAATTCTGCTACTGACCGGACGCTGAATCGTCCTGACCGTTGAGCCGGCAATATACTGATCGGACGCTAGTCGTCGTCGCCTTCCACCGGACGTGTCCGGTCGCCTTCCACCGGACGTGTCCGGTCGCAGATTTGCCGCTCTGGAACCTTACTGTACTCGATCGGACGCTGCTGTCCTGCGTCCGGTCGGTTGCCGCCAGCGTCCGGTCCAGTGTCCGGTCGCCTGTCTGTCGAGTCCTCTGCCCAGCGTCCGGTCACCTCAGTGAGCTCGTTTCTTCGCGATCTTGCGTACGGCTTGGTTCCAATCTTCGTGCTTGGACTTTGCTTGATATCTTGGGTCTTCTCTTGTGCTTCTAAGGTATTTCTTAAGGTGTTGATCATCGGATCACCACGTCGCCTTCGTCCAAGTCACGTCTTGCATCCTATTGAACTGCAAAATAAACACTTGCAAATTCATTAGTCCAATTTGATTGGGTTGGTCATCAAACACCAAAATCCAAAGTAAATAGGTAAAGGATCCATTTTCCTTACGTGCGCTAAGAGAAAAGCTAGTATTTGTATAACTTAGGACTGTTAAGTTATTCCTCAAAGTTATACTATCTAACTCAATTATTTAAGTTATGTGTGCACGGTTCTAAAAAGAAATATGGGAGCGCATGAGACCCACCCCATACGTACCTACCACGTCTATAAAAAGAGAATGGAATGCCTGCGCGCCCACCATTCCCGCTCGAAAGCCGAAAGACAAAGAGACGCGCACGCCATCCCTAAAAGGAAGCAGCGGGAATAATTATTTTTCTGAAAAGGAAACTATGGGCTGTCAGAAAATCGCTCACTGCTTTCAGTTTGAGTGAACGTTCACCGTATAGTGGTGTCATTAAAAACGGCTTCAGTTCTTTCGTTTTTCATTGAAAAGCAGGTTGACTTGTTTTTACTTATTAAAAACGATATAGTATAGTAGAGCTCCTTCGAAGAAGGGTATGTTTGGCAGGGTTCCTCTCTGGCACCAGCTCTGGCTCTTACGAAGGAGCGCTGCTAAACATTTTCTTAAAGGAGCTATTTTTCAATAAAAACAGAGAAGTCGGAGCCATTTTAGAGAAGCCATAAACTAAGGCTCCTTTAAAACAGCTCTGACTCATCTGGAGGAGTCTCTCAAGAGGAGTCATGCTAAACACCCCCGAAATCCCTAGCCCTACGAAATATACCCTAGGATGAAGCCAAATCAAAGTCCGCGACAGAAAACAAACAACAGGCCTGTTCGATGATTGGTGCTGGTGCTGGTTTGGGCTAACTGGTGCTAGTTTTTTATGAGAAAAAAATACTATTAGCTGACTAATTTAGACCGGCTGAACAAGCTACGAAGAATAGTACTACAGGGGCCTGAAATGCCACCTCGTCTTTTTCTTGGAAGCTCAGTAGTCATATACTCGTACCTACTACGGAGTACGACCTACTACCCACTAGCACACGGCAGTGTACCTAGCGCACGTTGCAAGACCTAGGGACTATTTGATCCAGCGATTAAAATTTAGAAGGTGTGTTGTGAGGATGTTGTATAGGGTGTTCGGATACTAATAAAAAAACAAATTACATAATCCGTCAGTGCTCCACGAGACGAATTTTTAAGCCTAATTAATCCATCATTAACACGTGTTTACTGTAGCGACACATTGTCAAATCGTGGACTAATTAAGCTTAAAAGATTCATCTCGCAGATTAGTCGCAAACTATATAATTAATTTCGTAATTAATCTATATTTAATACTCCATACATGTGTCCAAATATTCAATAGGACAGTGACTAAAATTTAGGAGGAACAACCAATGCATCAACAACAATCCGTCACCATTATCTGTTAAAGAACTTTCTTGGATGCTCGCACCGAAATCCCCGATCGAGTCCCACGATACGATATGGTCTCCCGAACGGGCTGAGTGTTGTTCGTTTGGGTTTGTTTGGCTGATAAACCATGGTTGAAAGTACTGTTAGCTAGTTTGGTGTAACAGAAAAATACTGTTCGTTGGCTGATAAGCCATGGTTTATAAGCCAAATACGATCGAGCGAACAGGCTGAGTGTACCTAGCGCACATTGCAAAACTTAATATGTTAAAGAACCATACGTCAACAACCATTAACTGTTAAAGAACTTTCTTGGATGCTTGCACCGAAATCCCCGATCGAGTCCCCTTAAGATGAAGCAAAATCGAAATAGAGCACCACGGGAATCGCCATCAGCTTGCAGGACAATCTAGCTAGCAGGTCATCAACGTGTTTTGGTCTGTTAGTAACGCGCGTTTGCCACTGACACTGAGACTACCTATTTATGCTCCCGCTTAGCTCGTTGGGGCAAACAACAAACACACATACAGAGACAGACAGACAGACAGAGAGATGGAGGCGACGGCCGTGAGCTTGGCGAGGTCCGTTCTAGACGGCGTCTTAAGCAGCGCCGGTTCTGCCATCGCCGATGAGGTTGCGCGCCTCATCGGGGTCCCCAAGGAGGTAGACTTCATCCGCAACGAGATGGAGATGATGCAGTCCTTCCTCAAGGTGGCGTCAGCCCATCCTGAGGCCACGGTGCGCAACTACATCGCGAAGACTTGGGTGAAGCAGGTGCGCGACCTCGCGTACGACGTCGAGGACTGCCTCCTCGACTTCGCGCTGTACGCGGACAGGACGTCGTCCTCGTGGGTCGGCTCCTGGCTCCCCGGCGCTATCGCCGAGCGCCGCCGCATTGCCGAGCGGATCCGGGGCATCAAGGCCAGCGTCGAGGCGCTAAACCAGCGCCACCAGAGGTATCTGCAGATCGCCGTCGGCCCCGCCGCTGGCGTACCGGAAGCTCAGTCGTCGTCGTCGTCCGCGCTGCACGAACACGACGAGCACTCGGCGGAGCTGGCGTTCCAGGTGTCGGACATCATCGGCCGGGACACCGAGATTAAGGCGGTCACCAAGCTGCTCTCAGTCAGCAACGGCGCGCTGCGCGTCGTGTCGGTGTGGGGGATGGGCGGCATGGGGAAGTCGTCGCTGGTGCGCATGGTGCACAACGACCCGGACGTCCTCGCCGAGTTCGACTGCCGCGCGTGGATCACGGTGCCGCACCCGCTGGACAACCCCGACATGTTCAACCGGCGGCTCAAGAAGGAGCTCGCCGTGCCACACGGCCACAGGATCGAGGATCACCTGCGGGATAAGCGATACCTGGTTATCGTGGACGACCTACTTAGCCAGGACGAGTGGGAAAATATATGGCAGGCTTTTCGATTCCGCAACAAAAAGGACAGCCGTATCATCGTGACGACGCGGCGGGAGGACGTCGCCCGGCACTGCCACTGCGCTGGAGCGGGAGATGTGGCGGAGGGAAACAATGAGCTTACCTACGAGCTCAAGCCACTGGATAGTAAGGAGTCTAAGAGACTCCTCTACCAGAAGGTGCGTCCTTACCCATGCTCCTATACTGTATACTACCTTTATCTATATTTATCTATATCTACAAATACACCTAAAAAATTCCTATGGCTATCGTCCGCGTCCGCCCCGCCCTATACGGTAAAAAAAAAGTTTCTATTATATGGCAAAAAAAGGTTCCGAAATATAAACATATACGGCAAAAAAAACCACCATAAAAAAGCCACCGTCCTCGTTTCCAAAAAAAAACATATATGGCAAAAAAACCTGTTTCCTAAACAAACTCTTCCACATCAAAAATCATATACGGCGAAAAAAGTCGTTTTCGAAACAAACTCTTCCACAACAAAAATCTTTGTTGACACAGACGAAACAGATCATGCACATATTCAAACAGAGAAATTTGGCAAGGGCTTTGCTTACGACAACCAAAAAGATCACGCACATATTCATACACAAGAAATCTTTGCTGACACCGATGAAACGGCGCACATATTCATACACAGAAAAATGAGAGGAATAAACTCTCTCATGTGAAAATAAATCAATCTCTTAAAAAAAATCAAATAAAACAATTTTAATAATATATAAGAAGTTTATCTAAAGTAGACATGCAAATAACAATTCTCTCAAATTCACCAAAGATAGCTGTGGTGAATACAGGTGTTACAGTATAAAATAGATTTAATCGATTTCAAGTGATCATGATAAGATCACTATTCATCCTTCACTTGACGTGCGTTCGTGTTCTACCCGGTTCTAATACGAAGACCAAATCTATGTGTCCGCGTCCGATATAAAGTCTTCAAAGCTCACGCGTTCACGCCCTACACGATTCGAATACGAAGACAAAATCTACGAGTCTGCATCCAATACAAAGTCCTCATAGCTCACACGTTCACGTCCAATTACTAAGGTTAACTCAAAAAAATTTGGCCCCATACAACGCACGGGCATTTATCTAGTCCAAAAAATAAATTTCTAAGATCTAGTCTAAGTCAAATTATTCTAAATTTAACTAAATTTATATAAAATAATATTAATAATAATAGTTCTAAATTCCTTGCAAAAAATACTGATTTAAAATAGATACATTAAGAAAACATATTTTATAATAAATGTCATAGTACTTATTTGATATTATAAATATTAGTATTTTTTTAAAAAATGGTATATCAAAGATGGTGTGACTTAGCATATACTTGCGCTGTCGCTCCCCGAGAAGTCAGATATATCTAACTTTGACTAAATATATAAAAGAAAATATTAATATTTATAGTACATAATTAGTACCATTAGATAGATCATTCAATTTATTTTCATAATAAATTTATTTAGAGATACAAATGTTGCTAATATTTTATAAAACTTAATCAAACATAGGCATTACAAAGTATATGTTTAATACCTATAACAAAAAAAAAATACTTGTCTTCGTGGTCGCTTTTTGTTCATATTTTTTTAAAAAATACACATATATCTATAATCTCTATTTGTCTATAATAATCTATTAACTACTCCATTCATTTTAAATTATGAGTCATTTTTTTTCTTTTATAGATACATAGTTTTTGCTATGTATATAGGCATAACTTATATCTAGTACGTAGCAAAAGCTAGGTACCTTGAAAAACTAGAACGACCTACAATTTGAAACAGAGAGGTACTAGTGAGGAAACTATGTATGCACCTCGTATTAGAAAAACTAGCTAAGAAAAAACGAACCGAAGGGACTTGCACGAGCGCCACAAGAAAAAAAAATATACATGGGAGAAGATCGAGGACAACCCAAACAACAACTAAAAAGTCCACTAATATGAGTTCTAGACATCGCTAAGGAGTGTTGAGTCACATCTTTTATCATGAAGACCACCTCCTCAGGTTGCTCTGCCAAATTTTGAAAAGTTCTTCTATTTCTCTTATTTGACAAATTCCACCAATGATCTGTCACTAGCTCATCAGTCAAACTTCCTTTGGCTCTTGTCAAATTTAGCTCTCACCCACTGCCACCATGTATAAATCGAACCATTACAACGATGTTGTTCAGAAGATCCAGGAGATTTCTCCGTTGGACCAATGTGTTCTAAACTTGTATTGCATATGGACAGCCCTTTCTTTTAGCTTCTAGTCAAAAGCGAAAAGTTATATTATAACCCAAAAACGTATCTATCAACAGGGACACCTTTTCAAAAAGTTAGCTTTTGAGGTAGGCCCAAAAGTTTTTTTTTTTAAACAAAAGGCCAAACAAAACAAGTCCTAATTTAAAATGTATAGTCCAGATTTTCCTTGGATTTATATAGCAAAAATCAAGTGTTATCGGTGACTACAGTATAAATTAATTTTATCTTGTGACAGATTAATAAAAGTGTAAACAAACGATCAGATGTTAGGTGATTTGAAAAGGCGGGAACTTTCTTACTTCATTTGGCCATCACCATTGTCCATTGAGCACGAACCTTGGACCTTGGTACACATCTAGACACCATAAAAATAAAAAGGTGGGAGAAAAACCCTAGAAAGATGTACTCCTATAAAAGAATGTTTGGCTTCTCGCTCCTCCTGTACTTTGACTTCAATCCGCATTCCACGAATCCACGGGCTTTGCTATCCCAACGGCACCACCTCTGCGGTGCGCACTGAGCGAGAGCAACAGAAAGGAGGGAGGGAGGGGCGTGTAGTCGCGTAGAACATACAGTGACTGGTTGCTGCGATGTCATGTGCTCTGATCAACCAAGATGAAAGGTATGATGACCAGGGCACTCGTGGTCAAATGTCAATGGAAGTGGCCACGGTGGCCGATGGCCGGTGGGGTGACGTTTCTGTTGGAGGCCAAACCGGAGCTCCCTGCCCCTGTGTATATGTCTCTCAGTGACCAGCTTGTGTTTTGCACGCGTCTACACATGTCATTGCGTCAATGGCTCAACGCCCTCGCCATGTTCGACGAAATGCATAACCTCGAATATGTGAAATATCACCAGAATTATCTGTCCACCAAGAACCAAGGTTGTATGACCTTTGAAGTTTTCTTTTGTGCGCAGCATCTAAGGATATGTCGTGCTTGTGCTTGTGCTTGTGCATCTAAGGATAGCTTGTGCCTAGCATCTAAGGATACATCGAAACACATGGTTTTTGCGATGGTGTGCAACATAGCTTGGGTCTTTAGCTTGCATAAGTTCAATTAATAGATAAGCTTGTCCAATTACAGTTATTTTTGTTTGGGGTATAGTATTGAAACTTAATACGCATGAGAATTGACATGACACAGCCTGCTACATTTCTATTTTTTCAAGGGTCGTCTGGTATTATCTCATTGGTCCATTTTGTTCTCTAGGATATTCATTTAGTTGTTTCATTCCATCATTTGTAGGTCTACAAGACGACTAATTATGATTTGCCATCGGATATGGAGGAACAAGCCAGCCATATATTAAGGAGATGTCGTGGGCTTCCACTTGCCATATCTACCATCGGAGGTCTCCTAGCGAATAGGCCGAAAACAAGCATAGAGTGGAGAAACCTGCACGAACATCTTGGGGCAGAGTTGGAGTCTGACCTCCGCAATATCACCAAGGTGATCGTCTCAAGTTATGATGGCTTGCCGTATCACCTGAAATCCATCTTCTTGTACCTCAGTATCTTCCCTGAGAACCATGAGATCAGACGCACCCGCTTGCTCAGGCGGTGGATGGCAGAAGGCTACATAGCAAAGAACCGTGACATGCCTGCAGAGGTTGTAGGAGAGCGTTTCTACAATGAGCTCATTAACAGAAGCATGATTCAAGGTTCCAAGGCCATCTCTGGTGTTAGAGCTGATCGCTGCCGGGTTCACAGCATGGTGCTCAAGATCATCTTGTCCAAGTTCATCGAGGAGAACCAACTATTACTCATCGAGAAGCACTCCAATGAGATTCCACAAAGTAAGATACGCCACCTGGTGGTATCGAGATGGAAAGGGAGGGATGAGGAGCTGCAAAGAATTAACTTGTCATATGTCCGATCGTTGACAATCTTTGGGGATTACCCTGCATCTCTCGTCTCTCCAAAACTGCGGCTGTTGCGAGTGCTTGACCTGGAGGACACGATCAATCTGAAGAATGATGACCTCAAGCATATAGGGGAGCTACGACACCTGAGATATCTGTGCCTACGAGGAACGGATGTTTCTAAGCTTCCGTCTTCCTTGCAGAACCTTCGATATCTGGAGACATTAGACATTCAAGACACACAGGTGACACAACTCCCCAGGGGCATTGCCAAACTTGAGAAGCTCTGTTATCTTCTAGCTGGAGTCGACTTTTCAAAAGATTTGCTGCAAAAGATGGAATCAGGGAAGGACAAACATAAAGTCGGCCTTTTATCCTGTCTATGCTGCAACCAAGGTGAGTGCTGCAAGGTTTTCAATGCAAGTGTAAGAGCTCCCGAAGGAATCGAGAAGTTACAGAACCTGCACATGTTGGGGGTGGTCAATGTTGGCAATGGAAATGGTGTGGCAGGGAGGCTCAAGAAGCTGACGAACTTGACAAATTTGAAAAGGTTAGGGGTCGAAGGGCTTACTGAGAAACAAGGGCACTATCTGTGTCAATCGATAGGTGAACTCAGGCGATTGCAACGGCTTGAAGTGCGCTCTGATTCACTTACATTTCTCACTCAAATGGGTGAACTGCAAGTACCAGCACATCTTGTTTCCCTGAGGCTGTGTGGGAATCTGAGTAGTCTACCTAATTGGATCGGTTTACTCAATGATCTAGCTAAGGTGAAGCTGCTGGGGACACAACTGAAGCACAAAGACATTGAGCGCCTTCAGAACCTGCGCAACCTGACTTTGCTAGGCCTATGGGAGAACTCCTACATAGGTGACTCCTTGCATTTCTGTACTGGTACATTTCCAAAGCTCAAGTTCCTTGACATTGATGGGCTAGAGAAAATAGAGAAAGTGTCAATCGACAAAGGCGCCATGCCTGAGCTTAAGAAACTTTGGATTAACAAGTGCCCATCACTACAGGATAATAGTTCTGGCTTGTCTGGAGTGCCAGACCTGTGGAACCTGAATGAGCTTCTTCTTAAGAAATGTGGCGAGAAAGAGAACCTGACGAAGATACTGCAAAGGCAGATCAGTGATCACCATAAACGCCCCAGGTTCCTCATTGGCAAGTCAATTGTGCCTACTAGCCCATCCACATACTGACAGCTGAGCAATGTAGATGGCACCATGCCCAAATTATTTCATATATGTATGTATTTTTATTAGTTGCGTATGTTCTTGTTTATGTTCAAATGTAAATAGCTGCATTAATACAACATTGGCTTTCATTACATTGAATTTCGGAATCAGGTGTTGTGGATTAAGATGCTATTGTAATTCAGAATACCACGTGTTAGACACAATTATTGATCGAACTGGATAGATACAGATAGAGTTCACATGAAACAATGCATGGACAACAGCAATGAAGCCGACTATTACATACTTGGATTGCATATATCATCAACTATACTCAAAATGTGAAGAACTCTGTGTATTAGTGGGTATCCTCCAGCCACAATGAGGCTGCTGGCTCTAGTCTTCACTTATCAAGCGGCTTCCCTTTCTATCATAACTCAATAGCCCATAGATTCCTTCATAGCCTCCTTAATCCCTCTTCTTGCTGGCAAAGACTTTAGCCTACACACCTTTGTGTCATTCTTCTCCTCCATCAAGACCGATGGCTTGCAGAGACCATGTCTTGGAATCAGCATAAACTTAACAATGCCAGGGGTAGCATTCTGCCAGCAATAGCAGCAATCAAGCCACATAAAAATGGCCTATAACAGCAATACAATGAAGATGTTGAGTTACTGACAAAGAAATCAGTTAGAAGGGAAAGGACTTGAACGTGTAATTCTCTGTATCTTTTTTTTTTAGAACACTTGCGTTGACCCGTGTTTTTTTTTCTCGAACGTGCACTGTAGCACGTAGAACATCGAAACAAATACACGACGCAGCTACGAGAGAACCAACATAGCACAGATTACAAACCACGAAGCAAGTGGTGTGTGACCTGGAGTAGAAACTAAGAACAGAAAAAGAAAAAAAAAGAATACAAAAGCGGGCGACTGGCCACGACACCTACAACCTACGAACTGAGCCTGCAAGAAGAAATGATACAACACTTGCGTTGACCCGTGTTTCATTTAGAGGATTATTAAAACGTTTCAATACAAAACAAGGTCCCAAGTGCACGTACGCATGTAATTCTCTGTATCGTTCAGCTAGTTTCTTATCTTTATGGACGCTGAATCCCATTGAAGAGCACATAGATGGTCCTAAGAAATTTTGCGTTATTTTCTTCGAAGTTCACTAATGAGTAGTCGTACCTACCAGCACTCGGCTGAACTTTTCTCAATCCTTGCATAAAAAACTTGCAAGTAGTCTTTCTGGACAACGCGGTTACACGAAACGTGCATCCCCTTGCTTGCCAATTCATCAAAGTAATATAGGCAAAGCAATCTCCTGAGCACTCATAGTTCATTGGTTAAGGACTAGGGAGACAGACGGAGCCCAGGACGAGTGGGAAAACATATGCCAGGTTTTCCGGATCGAATGAAAACAGCAAGGGCAACCGTATATGGATTTTGCTACGGTACCCCTTTACCTCTTACGAGGTAAGATTTCGAATAGATCACAACCGTTGAATTTTAGAACAAATTAGACAATTAAATAACCAAATAATCAAGGAAAATGTTGGCTATATCTGTACGCACATTACGTGGCAGAGTGGCATGGACATGTCTACGAGCTGAAGCCATTGGGGGCATGGTGAGTGTCCATGGATCTCCTTTGTCCGAAGGTGCGACCTCCTCAACTTCACAACCTTTCCCCTTGTAGTCAACGGTCAAGGATCCAATTAGGATGATGTGACTTAAGGTGCCGTTTGAATCATCAACCTTTTATAAACTGCAATAGGGAGCCAGCTAATAGCTTTTTATAAGTTAAACGGTTGAATAGTTCAAAATAAGTTAGCACTACTATAAAAACGATTTTTAGCAATAGGAGCTTTTTTTTTTGACACGCCTCGATAGTGCCCACTGTGAACCCTATTAATAGAGCCGCCTATAAAAATATAATTTTAGAGGCGGTTGGGATTTCGAAACACATCTAGAAATATAGAGTACTTTTAGAGGCTATTGGGAATTTCATCCGCCTATGGAAAAGCCATCTAAGAAATGTGAGGATGGAGAGTGGGCCAATGTTTAGCTCGATGGCTATGAGGTTGGCAGCCATAAACTTTGGGTTGACTGGTTATACCCTTCTTGTGTGTAGTGTAGCTCCTCCTAATTGGTTAGGCACTTGTGAGTTCTGCAAGTGAAACTTTTGTTAGCTGTACTACCAAAATTATCTCAAATGAGGGTTTATATTTTTGGCCAAAGAAGATTCAAATCCATGAGGTTCTGTCATACTGATTTTTTCTCTTATGAAAATGTGAGGTTGTGTTTTCACACTGGTAGATGTGATCAAATTCCTTCAAGATTGTTTCATATTTTACGTGCCAAAAATCCCAATAGCTAGATAAAAATATTGGTCTGCAAAATAGGAATATACATCCACACATCCGCTCAACAAAAAGTTGTTCCATATACCTCAATTAAAGGAAAAATCAACATCATGTTCCTAACCATCAACAGTGCATCAACACTCTTTGTATAAAATGTTCTCAGCATCTCATATCTCATGTCTCTATTTACATGTCATCTCTCGTGTCTCTCTGTTTTGAACTAGCAAACGTGAATGTGTGTTGCAACGGTAAAATATAGTATTGGATATCTCCACCTTGGTGTCGATCATGTGACACTTTCACGGAACTTGCCGCCTGCTACAATATATAGCAAGCTAACACCAACGTTAGGAACCTGCCGCCCTCTGTCAGAGATAGCAGCCGCGTCCTGTTGCTTCCGATGCGCGCTTGCCACGCTAGGTCTAGATGTGCGTGTGCCCCAGCTTGTGGATTACAAAAGTGCAAAAGAATTGAGGGCATGTTTGGAACGTGGAAAAAAGTTTCCTATTCTTACGTTTTTCCTTTGAAATCGAATTGATTCGTGTGAAATTTACACATTCCAAACAAACCCTAAATAGTTGTGCTTGATTTTTTTATAAGAACGAGAAAAAGAAAATCGAAAGTGAATAGAACAACTATAGAGGCAATTGACACATAAACAATGTATATATTTTATTTTAATGTTTTACATGTAGCTAGGATCATTCATGAATATCATTTTATATACCATTGTGTTCCTGTTTGGTAGAAAACGGATCAAGCTAAGATAAACATGATTACCATATTTTTTAGAACCATCAATTATAAATGATATATTATATATACAGATATGTATGCATAATAATGTACCATATCTGGACAGCTAAACCGAATTGCCCGTATTGAGCAACATAATAATAATGTATGATAGTGATATATTATATATACTCTTTGCTCTGACATGTAAAATAAATCAGCTCATCTCATCCATCAGACTTATTGCAACGTTGTTTTGTTTCTCTCCATGCAAATTACATCTTCATATACCTCCCCACGCTGTCCATTTGAAAGACCACTGTGATTATTTGAGTTACAAATGTTCCACTTCATAATCCAAAATTTTTCAATTAAGAATACAAAGTTGCCTTAATAGCTCCTATAAGACATTTCTAAAATTGTATTCACTGACAACATTGGGAATGGCCTGACTGACCGAGTGGTCAGTGCAGGTGTCGCGGGGTTGAAACCGCGGCAAGCATTGTTGTTCGAGTCGGTGTCAGAGTACGGGTCTCCGGTGGTTCGGGTGGACTCAGGAACACAAGAATCACGTAGAGAAGACACAACAGTTTATCTTGGTTCGGGCCAATTCGGTCCCTACGTTCAATAGTTGATGATCCTTATACTCAAGAGCACCAAAAATCGGGGGGTTACAACAGAGTGTAGAGAGAGATTTGGTAGGGAGGTTAGCTTGGTGCTAATCCTAAGGTTGTCTCGCCGCTGGTGGAGCCTTCCCCTTGTCAGAGAGGAGGAAGATGACAGGATGCCGAGGAGGAGCTCTCGGTGCCCCTCTTCGGGTTGCCTTCCTCCCTATGCGGAGCGGAGGCGGATGGAATGGAATGGAGTGTCTGGTGATCGATCTGGGATCCTCCTCCCCTCCTAGGTCCGACCTTATCCCTTATATAACGAGATATGTCGGGTACATGGTGGTTTGGGGAACTAGTTTACGGTCTACGTGCGTCGGAGTCTAGGAGGGTCTTGTAGTGGTGCGCCGTGGACCGTGGCGATGTCTTGGTGCCGAAGAAGTCTTGGACGTCATTCGGCTGCTCTATTCTGACACTCTGCATGTCAGGCTATGTTGGCTTGGACCGGCCTCCCCCGGGTGGACCTTCTGTAGTCTTCTTGGTGATGAAGGTGGTTGGCTCTAGGGGCTGACGTGCGGGCCCGAAGCCCCCGAGCCCCGGGAGGCCGAGGGAAAGCTTTGTCTTCTTGTGTAACACCCTAGACGTGACCCTATCGGGGGAGCAGTTGGCTGGGCCATGCCTGGGGAGCGGCGCTAGGGAGCCCCTGAGCATCGGTAACCCGGGGCTTGTCTTCTTGCGCCCGGGCCTTGGCTGGCGTCATTAGCTAGGTAGGAGCCAAGGACCAGGCCTGGATGTGCCGTAGATCGGGTGCCTAGGGCTTGGGTGAGCCCCCGAGCCCCAAGCGACGGTCATGGCCAAGTCAAGCTTGGCCAGGTCTCTTTGCCAGAGGGTGCGCGCGAGCGTGCTCGATGGGCATAGCCCCCGAGCCCCCGGGTGATCCTAGAGGGGTTGGTTGGGGGTCTTCTTCGGTTGGGAACCATTGGACTCGAGGCTTAACATACCCATATGTTAGGATCTCATCAGGAGCCCCCGAGCCCTTCATGGACTCACCTGGCGTGATGATGACAAAAGGCTAAATTCGATCTTGTAGTGACCGAACCCTCCTTGGCGGGACAGCTTCAGCTGATAAGAGTGTTGCGCCCTGCTTGGGGCCTTCTTCTTCATCATGATGGGTATTGCTTGGCTATCAGGGCCGAGCAGAGATGGTGTCGATCCCTTCATGAGTCTATGTCGCATGGGTCTTCGACTCGAGTGAGGGCTTAGTGAACTCATCTGGGAGTTGTCGACTTCAGGCCTGGGGTGCCCTCCTTTTT